GAGGAACAATTCTGATGCAATACATGTTTCTAGAATAAGGACCCTGAAATCATCACCATTCCTTATTCTAGAAACAGAAACCAGGGAATAGCGTTCCCAGAAGAACGAGTGTTTTGTCATTGTTACTTATATTAGATATCATTTGCATGTCATTTAGAAAGATGGAACACTTGTTCTCCTGGGAACTTTGCTTCCCTGTTTTAAGAATAAGGACCCAGGTAACCATGTAAGAATCAGCTCTATTCCAACCGACATGAGAACCGTTCGCTCCAGTCGATCAATTCATTTGTCAAGTAGGATAAACGTTCAACTTATTGAAAAATAGGTATGCAACTGGAAATTGCTGGTTCTGGAACGGTTCTCACGTCGGTTGGAACAGAGCTAAAATTCTTGGTACGTTTTTTCAATTTTAACCATTGCCTTAAGAACCGAGACCTGTAACTGGGTTTTTTCTGTCGTCCACAGTTTGTTCATCAAAGAAAAGACCCTTTCTACTCGTGCGTTCGAGAACCAGGTGAACCATTCGGCATTGATCAAACACTCTAGTCCTGACTCGGTGTCTATTCTCGAAACCGGGGAATAACGTTCTCATCAGAATGAAGGTTCTGTCTTAGCGCGGGTATTATAAAACTGCTTTGAAAGTTAACTTGAAGTTAACTTTTTGAATCACATGTAATTCCAAAAGTTAACTTTAAGTTAACTCTCAAAGTAGTTTTATAATATCCGCCCTTAGTCGCCCATATTTATATTTCCATAACACTGACAAAGACAGCGCAATCGTTCTCGTGAGATCGCTGTTCAGTGTTCGCCGGCTTCGAGAATAGACACAGACACACTGGAGTGAAATTTTATGCCTGGTTTATACTTCTGAATAATTAAGAATTAAACTAAATTGAGAATTAAACTAAACTTAAAATTTAAATGTTAAACGTCCCTAATTTGATGCTGTCGTTTATACCTCAAATTAAAAAATTAAATTAAATTAAATTAAATTGAAAGTTGGCTAACTTTCAACTGAATTAAAAATTAAGGAGATCGATCTATTTAGCTGGTTTTTGTTTATTTCAATGTTCCTTTCTGTCATTTGTGATTACGTGAAAAGCTAAAGTATGTTTTTTTTTTAAAGATAATTCCCCAAGTCAAATATTTAGTAACTATGTTGGCAACACAAGACTTTCCTACATAAAAAATTTGAAAGTATTGACAATTTTACATTGTATTGCCAACAGAATGTCACTTTAACTTTTATCTTTAAAAAAAAAACAAATTTTAGCTAATTTCAAAAAATCCTTAATTTTTAATTTTAGGTATAAACTGCATTTTTAAAGTTTAGTTTAATTTAATTTTCAATTTATTTCTTAGTTTAGTTTAATTCCTAATTTTGGAAGTATAAACCAGTCATTAAGAATATAACATTTATAATATGACATACGACACTGATATGTTTTTTTACGCCAATATTATTATTTTTTTCTGTGGGGTCTGAGGAAACGGGACAATTTTGCGTCCCGCAGTGTTTCTCGGGGACACCGGGACGGAGAGTCGAAATAAGGGACAGTCCCGTTGAAAACGGGACGTATGGTCACGTTAATCCTAGGAGTAAGTCAAATTTATTCTTTGTCCAACTATGTCCAGGAATACCCTGAAGTATTCGCTGAAAAGTTAGGATCCTACAGGGGACCTCCAGTTAGTTTTTTCCTGGATCCAAATTTCAAGCCGATCATTTTAAAAGCTCGAAAAGTGCCATTTGCTTTGAAGGAAAAAATTGATATGGAACTAGATAGACTTATAAGGCAAGGTGTTCTGGAGCCAACTACTCATGCTAAATGGTGTACTCCAATAGTAGTAGTTTCCAAAAATAACGGAGAAGTTCGAATTTGTAGGGTCTATCGTAGTACATTGAATGGTGCCCTGCAGGCAGCGCTTTATACAGTACCCTTTGTTCAAAGTATATTATCAGTGCTAGCAGGAAGTAAAATATTTTCTAAATTGGACAAGGCACAGACCTATTTACAGTTAAGCGTAAAGTCGATCGTGAAGCTGTCGAAGCACGGACGATAATTACCCACAAAGGTGCATTTAAATGTAATCGTTTACAGTTTGGTATCTCAGTAGCCCCACAAATTTGCCACCGTTTCATAGACATGCGACTAGCAGGAATTCCAGGTGTGCTGCCATATTATGACGATATACCTACTAGTTGTCGGACAATCAGAAGCTGATTTAGACAGTAAAGTGCGCGCAGTGCTTTCACGTTTTAGGGAAGATGGACTTAATTTACTCAAAGGTAAATGTGTGTTTAATACCAAGTCAATAGATTTTCTAGGATATCGAATAAGTAAAGATGGTATTCGGCCCACTAAAAAAGAAATTCCAGGCGATAGCTAATGCCTCGGCGCCTCAAAATAAGACTGAGCTACAGGCTTTCCTTGGACTTTTGAATTTTTATCATGTTTTCGTTAAAGACAAAGCAACCCATTGCATTGCCTTCTGAGGAAAGAATCGCAATGGCAGTGGCATACCGAAAACAAGCAGCGTTTGATGCATTAAAGGACATTTTAAGTGAAGAGCCAGTTTTAGCACATTATACAGATAAAAAAGACCTCATTTTAACATGTGACGCAAGTCCGTATGGTGTGGGCTGTCTGTTGAGTCAACCAAATGATGATGGGAGAGAAAGTCCAGTGGCATATCACAGCCGTACACTGTCGCACAGCGAGAAGAATTTTGCCCAAATTGATAAGGAAGCTCTCTCCATAATTACAGGAATTGAAAAATTCCATGATTATATTTTTGACCGCAAAGTAACTATCAGGACAGACTATAAGCCATTACTAGGTATTTTCAATCCAAAGAAAAGTGTTCCCGAAATACTTTCACCCAGAATGCTAAGATGGACTCTAATGTTAGCCGCATAAAACTATGATTTGGTTTATGTGCCAGGTTCCAAGATTCAAAATGCAGATGCTCTGAGCAGACTACCTTTAAATATTAATACTCCAGACGCCCCAGCGGCAGATGAGTTCCTGATGCTAGAAAACTTCCCAGAAAAAATTTTCTGCGCTAAAGACATTGCCCTAGAAACTAGGAAAGATCCAGTTTTATCAAGGGTTTTAAAGTGGGCATGGAAAGGTTGGCCAGAAAACCAGAATGGATTTACGCCAGAGTATACACCTTTTTTCGCAACGAAAAAATTAAATAACCTGCTATCAGGATTGCTTATTGTGGGGCACTAGAGTTAATTCCACCAGGAGGAAGGGAGAGAGTGCTCAAAATACTTCACATTGCTCATCCTGGCATAGTGAAAATGAAGGCACTAGCACGGTCATACGTCTGGTGGCCTAGCATGGACAAGCAAATTGACGATTTAGTGAATAGGTGTGCTGAGTGTCAAGAAACATGCCTAAAAAATCGCCAGTACATCCTTGGGAATGAGCACGGGGCCCGTAGACTCGAATACATCTTGATTTTGCCGGCCCAGTAAACGGAAATATTTTCTTAATTGTAATCGATGCCTTCTCAAAGTGGTTGGAAGTAAGGCTAGTACCTAGTACCTCCAAGTACATCGACGATTATAGTGCTGCGGGAGTGTTTTGCTACACATGGCATACCGGATGTCGTTGTTTCGGATAATGGAACAGCGTTTACTTCTGTAGAATTTCAAGAATTCCTTGAAAAAAAAAATTATACAAGCTCTAGTGGCACCTTACCATCCCAGTAGTAATGATCAGGCAGAAAGGATGATGCAGAATATTAAAATTGCAATTAGGAAAATGACTGGTACCAATGTACAACTGGCCCTATCCCGATATTTATTGAGCCAACACATAACTCCGCATAATTTAACAGGTAGATCTCCAGCAGAAATGCTAATGGGCTGTAGATTATCTACTCTACTTGATAAATTACAACCAGATTTTCGGAGGGAGATGATGACTCAACAGGAAGACAACCAACGTAGGTACAGAACAACGGAAAAAGATCAGGTTTTTCGATGATAATGATGCAGTCTATGCAAGATCATTTGCAGTTGGTCAGAAATAGAACTGGTTGCCATCAACGTTTATCGAAACTACAGCTCCGCTGAGCTACAAGGTCCAAACACCTGAAGAAAAAATCATGCGAAGAAATTCTGACCAAATCCGTTCCCGAGTTTTGGACGGGTTGAACTAAGACTTTCCTAGTAATGGCGAGTTCTCAGGAAAGTTAACTACAGAGACTTTACCACAGATGGAACCAGAAATCTCTGATGTGAGGGTGCCAATTGTTCATACGCCACCGTCTATGAGGATCAGGCGGCCCCCAAAATACCTAGAAGAGTGTGCTACGTAAAAAAAATCCAGAGGGAGGAGTGTGGTGTATTGTTGTTGTGTTTTGCTAGAACTGTGGAAGTGAATAGTAAAGAGAATTATAGAGAATATATTGATGAACTATGTTTATTGGAAAAATGATAGAGGTTCAACATAATGTGTCATAAATTTGAATTTTTGAATAAGTACTTATAGAGAATGAACCAAGCATTGAAGGAAAGTTGGAAAGAAGTGTATTAGGCTTAATAAAAGCAATTTCTAGCTTAAAAACTCATTATTTTATGAAAAAAAATAAATTTCTCCCACATGCTTTTGATTCGCTTGAGGACAGATAAACCTTTATTCGCCCACCAATCAAAAAATTAATAATGTAGACGCTTTTTTTCTCTCTAAGGCAACACACAGTATGTATACAAATGGACGGCAATTTTTCTTTCCTCAAGCTTTTCCAAATAGCGCGGTCGTTAAATAATCTTTCTTAGGGAGTTCTTCATTTCACCAGGCTTTCGCCCATAAACTTCCTAGGGCGATAATAAATGAGCTATTTGCCTTCTCGTTTTGCTCGGCGAATATTTTTTCAGAACAAATAGTCCAGCTATAATTTCGTTTTATTAGACAATCGTCTGGAAAGTATATCACGTATGCATAACATAAACTTAATTTAACGTTTTTGGTATTCCAGTTACTTACCATCCGAACATTGGCGGAGCAGTTATCAAAGCTGAGCTCACCCAAACAATAAGGATCATGAAAAAAGCCAACCTTTTTGATCGTCGTTTTCTGGAATAGCTCAGAGGCCGAGTGACTGCTAGATACCGATCTACACTGATGGCACACAAACTCAGAATCGAGGCTGTGCACAAGAGGATGTCCAAGGAGACCCAAATATCGCACAGGATCCAACCCAATTCCCATGCACCTAAAAGATAAAACTTTATTTAAATCCCTAAAAAATTTGACTTTCTTACGATAATTGTAAATTTCTTATTTTGTTTATTAGAGTAATTTATTTCAAAAATGCATTTGGCAAGTCACAATAAATTGGTTTGTTGGAACGAGAAAATTATATTTATATGGACATTTTCATTGATTTTGCAATTACATACCCGTTTGTTTTTCTTAGTGCCAGAATTAATTTAGCATAGAAATTGAATTAGCCAAATTCGCGTGACATCTACACATTATATAAACAAGGCTTATCGTTATATTTGTGTGTCATAATAACAATTTACGATAATATATTGTTGTTTTTGGGTGATGATAAAACACCTATAGGAAAATTGCATTTGAACTCAATATATTTAGCTCTTAAAAATTTGTCTTTTACTTGCTGGTGTCATCGAATAATGTTCAATCTATATACAAATGACCACGCATGCATATAGAGCAGCAAAACATTACCAATTCGAATAATTTCCCAATTGTAAATTCAACGTAATTTATTTTTTAACGAGTCCATGGAGGCAAAATTCGCGAATTACTTCTATTATTTTAGATTTCTCGACTTCAATTTATTTTAGGATTATTTCTAGAGTGGACCATTTTTTTTTTCTGACCCTCCAATTTTCAAATTTCTATAAGTCAACGAGAAAAAAAATCAATCTCTAAATATATATAGCTTTCAGGGGGCGGCCCGAAGTGCCAATTTATCAATTTTAAATGGCCGGATTTCTTTGGATTTTCCGGAAAATTGAAATCGTTTTCATGACAATGGAGTTATGTCCAATATCTCTTGTTTATTATATAAATTCTTTATTATTATAGAAAAAGCACGTATTTTGTAGATATTCACAAAATGCTTGTTTTCAGAATTCAATCAGGAGTATGTCGATGGAAAATTGAGCAATATAAACTTCGTAGTTGGGAAAATTTCCTTGCATTATATAAATTTTAGAAATACACTGCTATAAAATTCGGAATTGTTTCTGAAGTTTTTGTTTTGTATACTGTAATAGTGAATATGGCTTTTTGGATTGTGAGACGAAAAGCAAACCCTCTGGAAAATTCCAAACAATTTAAGAGGCAGAAAAAGTAAGAGGGAAGTTTTCAGTTCAAGTTCAAGACTGAATATTTAACTTCCATCACAACCGATATTATTAATAAGATATTTCTGATTCATGAATTTGATTTACTGTTCATAATATTCAGAGGAAAGTTGTAAGAAATCAGAAGAAGTTTACTTAGACTTAGAGGAACATTTATCAAATATTCATAGCAGAGTTTAAGAAAGAGATAGATTCCTTCCTTTCGAATGAATTATTTTACTTATATACAGGGTGTCCTTAGATAAACTGACACATTTTGCAGGTAGATATCTCTAGAACGAGAAAAAATAACGAGATGTGGTTTGTTCTGGGAGAATAAGGATTTAAAAAAAAAAAAACAGGGTATTGCCGAATCCTAAAATTTAAAGATTCATAATTTCATTTTTGAGCCTGAGATTTGTTCGACAAAAACTCAATAAATCTTGAAAGTTTGAAGTCCCTCTAATTGTTTGAAGTATTTTTGAGAAGTCTTTTCAATCAGTTAGAATATAATTCAGCCCCAGCCCAATAGTCAGGCAGTTGTGAAAGGTTGAATATACCATTTTCTAATTATTTCATGTGTTGTCTTTATACAGTCCATTGCGTTTTCCTGCAAGGCTGTTATGTTTTTGTCCAGAACGAGGTTCGTTGCAAATTTTTGATGAAGATATCTGGACCAGCCTTCACACAATAAATCCTGAAAGTTTGAAGTCCCTCTAATTTTTTGAACTAGGTATTTATTTTTTTTTTTGGCCAGTTGATGGTACCTTTTTACCAAAGTGCAATTTTCAGGATGTACCTAATTTCAAGATTATTTAAAAAAATTATACATTTTTGTGAAGTAGAGAAATCAGGCTTTCTGACGATGACAAAATACAATAGAACCCCGTTTATCCGAGTCGCAATTATCCGAGCTCTGGATTAACCAAGCCAGTCTAAAGACCCAAAAATCCTGATTATCCGAGGTACGCACGTCTATACTCCGTATTAACCGAGTTTCTAGAATATACAGGGTGTTTTTTTATATATTGACACCCCACCTACAGCCTTTACGTTTACAGGTAGAATAAAGGTGTACCTAAATACAAAAGTTGTACAGTTTTGGCTGAATTTTTAGAAACCATAGCCAGAAACAAAATTTGAATGTTAGAAATGTGAAATTTCGCATGCTGGAATTTTTCAAATGGGATGCCCTATATTTCATTCTATATTCTTGAAGAGCACAATGCCCCGATTCCAAAAATGTATAGTTTATCTATATTTGATTGAACAGTCTCTCATATATTCAGCTCCAAAAATTGTAAAAATACTATCCTACTACTGATTTTGTGAACCATTCTACCTGTATGTACAGGTGAAAGCTATAGGTAAAATTTGAGGTACCTACTTCTCTAATAGTATTTTTAAAATTTTTAGAACCAGATATGTTGGAGACGACTCAACCAAATACAGACAAACTATATAGTTTTGGAATCGGGAAATTATGCGCTTCAAGAATATACAACCAAATATAGGGCATCCCATTTGAAAAAAGCTGAATGCATGCAACATTTCACATTTCTGACATTCAATTTTTGTTTCTGACCATGGATTCTAAAAATTTAGCTAATACTATACAACTTTTGTATTTACACCTTTCATCTACTTGTAAAGGTGAAGGCTGTAGGTGGGGTGTCAATATATAAAAAAAAACATTCTGTACTTAAACAATAACTTATCATATAAAGTCCGAATTTGTAAGATTATCCACTTTTTGTCAATTGGCCTTTTATTAAGAATTAGTAATGTTACTTTACCAAACTAATAATATAATGTGACAAGTTTTTCGAGAACAAACGAGTGAATTGTTGCGGAACTTATGGGTGGACCTCTGCGGGACGAGCGCAGCGAGTTCCGCAGCCATCTATTCATCAATATATTGTGTAATTAGTGTAATTACAATACTAACCTGACTCACTCAAATGTGGAGTTATTCTCATTAGTTTTAAAAAGTACACGTTTCAGGTGAGTGTCTTATTTGAACAGTTCATTGGTGAGAAAATGGCTGCGGAACAGAGGTCCACCCATAAATTCTGCAATAATTCACTTATTTGTACTTGAACAATAACTTAATATATAAAGTCAGAATTTGTAAGATTATCCACTTTTTGTCAATTTGCCTTTCAACAGGAATTAGTAATGCTACTTTACCAAACTAGTAATATAATGTGACAAGTTATTCAAGCCATCTATTCATCAATATGTTGTTTAATTACGATACTAATACACGTTTTAGATGAGTGTCTTATTTGAACAGTTCAACATTATATTGGTAGGTGGATGGCTGCGGAACTCGCTGCGCTCGTCCCGCAGAGGTCCACCCATAAATTCTGCAATAATTCACTTATTTGTACTTGAACAATAACTTATCATATAAAGTCCGAATTTGTAAGATTATCCACTTTCTGTCAATTGGCCTTTTATCAGGAATTAGTAATGTTACTTTACCAAACTAATAATATAATGTGACAAGTTTTTCGAGAACAAACGAGTGAATTGTTGCGGAACTTATGGGTGGACCTCTGCGGGACGAGCGCAGCGAGTTCCGCAGCCATCTACTCACCAATATACTGTTGAACTGTTCAAATAAGACACTCACCTGAAACGTGTAACTACTTTTTAAACTAATGAGAATAACTCACATTTGAGTGAGTCAGGTTAGTATCGTAATTACACAACATATTGATGAATAGATGGCTGCGGAACTCGCCCACCCATAAATTCCGCAACAATCCACTCGTTTGTAGTTGAATAACTTGTCACATTATGTTACTAGTTTGGTAAAGTAGCATTACTAATTCCTGTTGAAAGGCAAATTGACAAAAAGTGGATAATCTTACAAATTCTGACTTTATATATTAAGTTATTATTCTAGTACAAATAAGTGAATTATTGCAGAATTTATGGGTGGACCTCTGCAGCCATCTACTTACCAATATACTGTTGAACTGTTCAAATGAGACACTCACCTGAAACGTGTACTTTTTGAACTAATGAGAATAACTCACATTTGAGTGAGGCAGGTTAGTATCATAATTACACAACATATATTGATGAATAGATGGCTGCGGAACTCGCTGCGCTCGTCCCGCAGAGGTCCACCCATAAATTCTGCAATAATTCACTTATTTGTACTTGAACAATAACTTATTATATAAAGTCAGAATTTGTAAGATTATCCACTTTTCGTCAATTGGCCTTTTATCAGGAATTAGTAATGTTACTTTACCAAACTAATAATATAATGTGACAAGTTTTTCGAGAACAAACGAATGAATTGTTGCGGAACTTATGGGTGGACCTCTGCGGGACGAGCGCAGCGAGTTCCGCAGCCATCTATTCATCAATATATTGTGTAATTAATGTAATTACAATACTAACCTGACTCACTCAAATGTGGAGTTATTCTCATTAGTTTTAAAAAGTACACGTTTCAGGTGAGTGTCTTATTTGAACAGTTCATTGGTGAGAAAATGGCTGCGGAACAGAGGTCCACCCATAAATTCTGCAATAATTCACTTATTTGTACTTGAACAATAGGTAGATACTTATTATATAAAGTCAGAATTTGTAAGATTATCCACTTTTCGTCAATTGGCCTTTCAACAGGAATTAGTAATGTTACTCTATCAAACTAGTAATATAATGTGACAAGTTATTCAAGTACAAACGAGTGGATTATTGTGGAACTGATGGGTGGACCTCTGCGGGACGAGCGCAGCGAGTTCCGCAGCCATCTATTCATCAATATGTTGTTCAATTACGATATTAACCTGACTCACTCAAATGTGAGTTATTCTCATTAGTTTAAAAAGTAGTTACACGTTTCGTTGCGCAATAATCCACTTATTTGTAATGCTTTCAGCTTTTTTCAAATGGGATGCCCTATATGTCATTCTATATTCTTCTCTGATAGTATTTTTAAAATTTTTAGAACCAAATATGTTGGAGACGGCTCAACCAAATATAGACAAACTATATAGTTATGGAACCGGAAAATTGCGCCCTTCAAGAATACAAAACCAAATATAAGGCATCCCATTTGAAAAAAGCTGAAAGCATGCAAAATTTCACACTTCTGACATTCAATTTTTGTTTTTGACCATGGATTCTACAAATTTAGCCAATACTGTACAACTTTTGTATTTACACCTTTTATCTACCTGTAAAGGTAAAGGCTGTAGGTGGGGTGTCAATATATGTAAAAACACCCTGTACATACATACAGGGTGTACCATTTAAAACATAACAGGCTAAATATCTGATGCCACGTTTATTTTTTTAAAAATCGCTCGTACACGTAATTTGATTTTCAAAGGGGGAAGTTTTTTGCAATCATTTTCAGCATATCAACTTCATCCCTCTAGGCGGGGTAGGACCAACCCTCACTATTTCAAATGGAACAAGGGGTTGAGTGATAGCTCTTTCAAAAGAGTATTCAATTTTCTTTTATTTGATTACATTTGAAAGGAAATTGAGCGCTCTTTTGAAACAGGTATCACTCGAACCCCTGTTCCATTTGAAATGGTAAGGGTTGATCCCACCCCCGCTAGGAGGTTGAAATAGTGCTGAAAATGTTTCAAACACTTACACAATCAAATTACGTATATGAACGATTTAAAAAAAAAAATAAAAGTGACACCAGATATTTAGACTGTTTCGTTTTAAATGGTAAACCCTGTATATAGGTATTCGCATTATCCGAGGTGGATACCCCCCAACGTTACCTCAGATAACCGAGGTTCTACTGTATACAGGATGTATCATTGAAAAAAAGGCAGTAATTTTATTTCAAAAAATCGCATGACTGTAAAACCAAATTTTAGCAAATTTTAGGATTTGGCAATAGGTACTGTGAAAAAAAAAAACTTTAAAAAATCCTTAATCTCCTAGAACAAACCGCATTTCATCATCTTTTCTCGTTTTCGAGATATTTACCTGCAAAATGAGTTAGTATCTAAAGACACCTTGTATATATAGGTATGCGTTTAAAAATAATAAATTCCCCTAGGTTTTTGAAATTTTAGGTTTTGACTCTTCAAAAAGTACGAGTCTTGTCCGTTTGAAATAAGGTTGTTTCAAAATCTTGAATCCTAAATCCCAATAAATCTTGACTTCTAAAAGCTTCAGAATTAAGTCTTCTGAGTCACTGGAGTTCGCTGAGATTTCAAGTCTTGACTTTGAATAGGAATCAGCATTGAGTTTTAGGAAAACATCTCCACATTCTCGTGTTTAATGGCCGTTTGCACCGACCATTTTAAGGAAGCCTTAGCGTTAATGGCCGTTTGCACCGAAAATTTTAAGGGAGGCTTAACGATAAGTATAACTTAAAATGACATTTCTACATGTAAAAATATCACTTTAAGGAATACTTATCGTTAAGCTCTTCTTAAAAATTGTCGGTGCAAACGGCCATTAGTATTCCTTGAAGTGACATTTTTACATGGAGAAATGTCACTTTAAGGAATACTTAACGCTAAGGCTTCCATAAAATGGTCGGTGCAAACGGCCATAAGTGTTTTGCAGCATTTATACAAAAGTTATGGTTTGTATGGTAGTATGTATAAATGTTTGAGCTGACATTATCGAGAATCTTGAATCCTAAATCCTATGAATCTTGACTTCTAAAAGCTTCAGAATTAAATCTTCTGAGTCAGCGAATTCACTGACATTTCAAGTCTTGACTTTTTGGAGCATCAGTATTGAGTTTTAAGAAAAAGAATCCACATTCTTCTGTTTAAATGTTATGCAGCATTTATACAAGTTTTGAGTTGTTTCAAGGTTTGTTTGGCAGTTTAAATGTTTGAGCTAACATAATTGAGAATCTTGAATCCTAAATCCTATGAATCTTAATTTCTAGAAGCTTCAGAACTAAATCTTCTGAGTTACTGAATTCACTGGAATTTCAAGTTTCGACTTTTTAGAGCATCAGCATTAAGTTTTAAGAAAACATCTCTACATTCTCATATTTAAGTGTTTTGCAGTATTCTTACAAGTTTAGAGTTGTTTCAAGGTTCCTTTAGCAGTATGAATATTTGAGCTGACATTATTGAAAATCTTGAATCCTAAATCCTATGAATCTTGATTTCTAAACGCTTCAGAATTAAATCTTCTGAGTCACCGAATTCATTGGCATTTCAAGTATTGACTTTTTGGAGCATCAGTATTGAGTTTCAAGAAAAAGTTTCCACATATTCGTGTTTAAGTGTTTTGCAGCATTCTTACAAGTTTTGAGTTGTTTCAACGTTTGTTTGGTAGTAGGAATGTTTGAGCTGACATTATTGAGTATCTTGAATCCAAAATCCTATGGATCGTGACTTTTAAAAGCTTCAGAATTAAATTTTCTGAGTCACTGAACTACTGATATTTCAAGTCTCGACTTTTTAGAGCATAATAGTATTAAGTTTTAAGAAAACGTCTCCACATTCTTGTGTTCAAGTATTTTGCAGTATTTTTACAAGTTTTGAGTTGTTTCAAGGTTTGTTTGGCAGTATAAATGTTTGAACTGACATTATTGAGCTGAGTTGGTTCCAGCGTTATTCGTGAATATTCAGACGAAATTTTTTGAAACTGATTCATTTGGAAGAGTGGCCAGTTAAATCTCCGGACCACATCACGGTCGATTTTTTTTTTCTTAATTTTATTCATGAAGCTATTTTTGAGTTCCCTCGCTTTGTTTTAGTAATAAACACTTCCAAATTATACAGGGTATCCCAGGGAAAACAGTCCAGCAAGGTTTACGGCTTTGGACGAAAAGATTTAAAAAAAAACCCTCGGACCCGTAAAACTTTATTTTCAGGGGGACACATTTTATTGGTATTCTCACCCATCACTTGTCAACCATAAAGTCGAGGTTTCAAATGAAGAGGGGGATCGAATGATACGTCATTCGATAGCTATTTTCATTAAGAATATATTCTCGAAGTTTTAAGTTGCTACTAAAGTCTGTTTTTTTTTTAAAGATAATTCCCCATGTCAAAAATTTAGTAACTATGTTGGCACACAAGCCTTTCTACATAAAAAATTTGAAAGCATTGACAATTTTACATTGTATTGCAAACATAATGTCATTTTGACTTTTATCTTTAAAAAAAAAACACATTTTATTTACCCTGTCGAAATGACGGCTTGTCAAAGTTAGGAAAAATGCTGTGTGGTTTTTACCTATTACTTTCGCATAGGTGTGACAGGTAAAAACTATACAGTTTAGATAATCGGGGATAATACCACGAGAGCTTCAAAATTACCGATAATTTTTCAAGATTGCGTGTTTTCTATAATTTCACGAGTCCGTAGGACGAGTGAAATTTGCAGAGAAAACACGCATGAGTGAAAAATTATCTGGTTCATTTTAATACAATAACATGGGAGAATTATCGCTGTAATTCTCTCTAGTTAAACAAATGGAAAAGATAATTTTCGCTGTAATTCTGAAAATCGTCACTTGTCTTATGGGATTTCTAACACATGAGTGGAATAATCGAAAATAAACATTTTGTTGAATTTGGCCTTGGTTGAAGAAAATTAATGTTTACTCTCTGGATCAGAAGTCACCACCTAAAATTAAAATTTTACATCATCCCTTTTTAGGCAGCTTGTGGGCATTATTCTTGTAAAGTGTAGGTACCACCAAATAAATAAACTCGGGCGCAGGAATGTTCAAAGAATGTAAAGAAAGCAACAAAAATCTCCAGCGCAGCCCTGTTTCACTCTAACTGCATTGCATGCACTGCACTACTCCATCTGTTCTACTCTATCTGCACTATTCTATCTGATCTACTCTTTTTGCACCACTCTATCTGATCGGAATAGTGGAATAGTTCTGTTCGGAAGAGCTCCAGTTCCTAAGCAGCATTGTTCTACTGTATCTGCAATGAAATTACCGGGCAACGACGAACTTCGTTCTAGGTATCAGAGATGGCGCCGTATACAAAATGGTTTGCAATGAAAATGTGGCGGTAAACTTGGTATCGGTTATAAGAGATGGCGCCGTATGCGGCCTTGGTCAATTTTTTTCATAAATAAATAAAATAAGTAATTATTTTTTTTGTTTTGGATTTTTTCGATTTATTAGGGACAAAGACAAATCCAATAAAGCAAAAATCTTAAAAATCAGTCCAGCCGTTCTCGAGTTATAAGTGTTAGAACCAACACAACTGTGTTCTATGTAGTATATATAGATTTTGGGGGTACCTATCACCCAGGCTTAAGGGTTGACAAGTAAGGGGTCAAAATACCAATAAAATGTTCCAAGTTGTAGAATCAGATTTTGGTGAATTGCCAAGAAGCAGAAAATACTGTGTATTGTCAGTGCATAAGTTTTTGCAGAAAAAAATTCACATCATGAAGCTGATTCAAGTCAATCTACACAAGATTATGAAGCTGATTTTGGATCAATTCACAAAGCAATCTTCACATGTTGGTTGAAGTATTTCCAATTCATCACACTTGGAAAGACTACTCAACCCGAGTGAGGAATGGTTTTTATTACACATCAAAAACCAACTGAAAATAATTCCAAAAACTACAAAACTAATATCTTGCATTGTAGATTTTGGACCCTAGAACTTCATCAGTTTCTAATGAAGAAAAAAATGATGATGAACCTGAAATACGTCAATCTACACAGAATAATGAAGCTGATTGAGGATCAATTTATAAAGCAATCTTCACATGTTGCTAAAGATGATGAAGCTGGACTTACATCATGACGCTGATTCAAGTCCAGCTACACAGAATGATGAAGCTGGATTTACATCAAACTATTTGTCTAACAGATTCTTACCTACAATGAGGTAAGCTACAGCGGGCGGCATCACGAAAATCCCGACCAACCAATCGGCAACCGCCAAAGACATGACGAAACAATTCGTCACCGTTCTCAGTCTTCGGGTGGTGATCACAGCGGCGATAACCAAAGTGTTCCCGATCACAACAATCACAATCACGACGCTCAACAGGATCACTAGGGACGCTTGCTGGTAACCGAACGGTTTTTGACCGATTTCGTTTAGGGGTAACAGCGAATTGTTGTAGGAATAGTTTTCCGGGGTCGTGGCCGGGATCCTTGACATGGTGGCTGATCATTTCTGGAAAAAAAAAATCAATGGAATTGATGTTAATAATCTTCCTGCAATGTAACTTGACCAGGAATATTTGACTAACTTATTACAAATGAGCCCTATAGGAGAAATTATCAAGCCAGAGACAAATATTTAAAAATACAAAAGCAAAAATGTGATGCAACATACCATAGCACATTATAATCAGTCATTGGATTTGTTTAACTGTATGTAGTTTGAAACTACAATAAAAGCATATAAGAAAAGAATCCATTGATAAACAAAATAAATTTGTACGCACGATCTCAACTATAATACTGATATCAGAAAAAGAAAAAAAAATCTAATTCTCAACTGATTAATACTAGATTAGTAGTTATCTATTGTAATAAATACGCGTGTAATTGGCTCTATACCTATTTTATCTCATATTTGGACAGTATGGCCCAAAATTAACTTAATGTATTTTTGTGTACTTTGTCTCTATAATACCCACACAAAAATCATTAAGATTGTATTTTGGTTTTCTAATTCAACTTCTTGGAAATTGCATATTGATTATTGATCGATGTGGAATTATTGTTTATTTTCAAAATGAAACAAGCTGTGTCCTCTTTTCAGGTCTAATTGCGTTTAAGGAAAGCTTTCGCATTAAAACTTTTTCTTTCAAGTATTGTTCTTCGCTTTTGAAGCGGGATCGTTTTTAATTTGGATTAATGCGGGGCATTTCCACGATTCAAATTAGTCAGATGGAAATTTATGGAATTAATTGTAGTTTGTAAGCTAAAAAGGCTTTCAGGATCGTAAGACATATTTGAAAATTAAACTTTCTTGATTTTTGATTTTACTACTAGAAAGAGGGGTTCAAATTTGGTGGAAAAGCATAATTTTTGGTTTCAACACATCCAAATATAGCTCAACACTAGATTTTTGAATGCTGTTTCAATAATCTGAATATTGGACTCTAGTTCACAACAGGACTAGGACTTATCTTTATGTCTACGAGTTAGGTTATGCAAATTAGAAGAAATGGTTTCCTTACAAAGCTTACAATACAGACCCATGATCAGTGTTGCCAGATCTACTGATTTATCAGTAGATCTACTGATTTGTCCACTAGTCTACTGATATAATGATATCAATGTAAATTCTACTGATAAAAGCCGTTGTAATCATTTACCTGCTTTTTATGATATTTTTTAAATTAAAATCTTGTATGAGAATGTCACAGCAATAATTTCATACACGACCTTTTTGCTAGGACTTCTAGGAATGTCCTCTGAACGCCGTCTGCCCGATTACTCCGATCAGTCCGATATGATTTGTATTGAAACAATCGAACGCTCGCAGTGCAGGCGCTGCACTCAACCAAATTGGAGAATCCCCAGCGTTCGTGCGTGTTTGTGTTGTGTCTTGTTGTCTTGCCTATTTGCTTTTTGTCTTGTCAGTTGCGTAAAGGCATGCGTTGTTGTTGGTTAGTCAATTGGTCACATAGCATTATGCTGTACAACTAACTGAAGCCTGTTTTACCTGTTTTCATAAGACTAGACTACCTACTGCATAGGTACTCCCATTTGAAAAAAGCTGAAAACATGCAACATTTCACATTTCTGACATTCAATTTTTGTTCCTGACTATGGATTCTAAAAATTTAGCCAATACTATACAACTTTTGTATTTACATCTTTTATCTACTTGAAGAGGTGGAGGCTGTAGGTGGGGTGTCAATATATAAAAAAAACATCTTGTACTTGAACAATAACTTATTATATAAAGTCAGAATTTGTAAGATAATTCACTTTTTTTCAATTTACCTTTAAACAGGAATTAGTAATGTTACTTTACCAAACTAGTAACATAATGTGACAAGTTATTCAACTACAAACGAGTGGATTGTTGCGGAATTTATGGGTGGGCGAGTTCCGCAGCCATCTATTCATCAATATGTTGTTTAATTACGATATTAACCTGACTCACTCAAATGTGAGTTATTCTCCTTAGTTTAAAAACTAAATGGTTCAGGTGAATGTCTCACTTGATAATCCACTTATTTGTACTTGAACAATAACTTATTATATAAAGTCAACATTATTTGTTAGATTATGACTATTCAGTTTTAGTCAATTCGCCTTTCAACTGGAATTAATAATGTTACTCTAACAAACTAATAACACAATCTGACAAGTTATTCAAGTACAAACGAGTGGATTGTTGCGGAACTTATGGGCAGCCATCTATTCACCAATATGTTGTTCAAGTACGGTACTAACTTGAATCACTCAGATGTCAGTTATTCTCATTAGTTCAAAAACTACACGTTTCAGGTGAGTGTCTTGTTTAAATAGTTCAACAGTATATTGGTTAATAGATGGCTGCGGAACTCGCTGCGCTCGTCCCGCAGAGGTCCACCTATAAGTTCCGCAACAATCCACTTATTTGTACTTGAACAATAACTTATTATATAAAGTCAAAATTTGTTAGATTATGACTATTCAGTTTTTGTCAATTCGCCTTTCAACAGGAATTAATAATGTTACTCTACCAAACTAATAACACAATCTGACAAGTTATTCAAGTACAAACGAGTGGATTGTTGCGGAACTTATGGGCAGCCATCTATTCACCAATATGTTGTTCAAGTACGGTACTAACTTGAATCACTCAGTTTAAATAGTTCAACAGTATATTGGTTAATAGATGGCTGCGGAACTCGCTGCGCTCGTCCCGCAGAGGTCCACCTATAAGTTCCGCAACAATCCACTTATTTGTACTTGAACAATAGGTAACTAAAAATTGTAAAAATACTATCCTACTATTGATTTTGTGAACCATTCTACCTGTAAAGGTGAAAGCTGCAGGTAAAATTTGAGGTAGGTACCTACTTGGTTTCTCTGATAGTATTTTCAACACTTCTAGAACCAAATATGTTGGAGCCGGTTCAACTAAATATAGACAAACCACATAGTTTTGGAATCGGGAAATTGTACTCTTTAAGAATATAGAACCAAACATAGGGCATCCCATAGGTAGTGCATATTTATATATGTCTTAATCTTAATAAACTATTTCTCATAAGTAGTACTGGTGTTTGATTTTCTTATGCAAATTTTCATAGTCTAATACACAGTCTAATAATTTGATGATTTGAAAAAACGTATGTAGTTAAAATAATTTTTGGGTATACCCTAATGGTTTACCCCTTTAACAAAGCAACTTATCTGTCTATATAGTGATTTCTACTGATATTTAGACTGGTAATCTACTGACAAAACAAAATATGACCTGGCAACATTGCCCATGATTTTCAATGATTTAAAAATCTTAGTAATTCCTAATTTAAACCACATCATTGATTTTGTCGATCCAGCTGTTATGTGATATATCGAGTCCCACACATTTTACAAACATTTCATTCCCTTTTCGTCGTAGAACTTTCTCCACGAGATACACATCAGGCTGTTTAGTTTTCTGTAATTTTTCTTCATAAAACCCAACACTTATAGGTTGTCCCCGCAAGTTCTATAACAAATAGGTTATTGGGTTTATAATTTGTACGTCTACCACTTTGAAGAGTTCTGTAGTCCAATTCGGTGTATATCCCTTCTCAAAAACATGTTTCTACTGGCTTATGCGAACTATATCGCCAACTAAGTAGTTGCTCTTCATTATTTTCCTTGATGGTACGAATTACTCGTTTTGCAATAGATGCCTTATTAAGGGGATTAAATAATGAACTATAATGATGAATTCCATATTTCTTGCAAATTGAGTGTTGTAATACTCCTTCCCATTATCAGAAATTATATTTTTGGGGGTTCTTCCGGAAGCTTTCAATATATTCTTCATAGCATTGCTAACATCCTGACTTTACAAGTCTAGTCATAAGTATTTAGAAAAATGATGCTTGTTCTACAAAGTTACAAAGGATAAACTTGCGGAGTCTAAACGACACAACAAAACTATGGAAGCTATTGCGCTGGGAAAAAAAGGAAGCGGATTATATTATTATATTTGGCTAAACCAGATATGGTCTGTTTTTGAAGAAGATTTCAAAAAAGTTCCAATAAAGCTATACCCAATCGACCACCTACCGATCAGGATATAAAAAATCCAAAATTCCTAATTATAGAGGTGTGTTTATGCAGCATACCTTACCATTTTCTCCAAAGAAAACCAAATCTGGTGTAGTTAATTTGGATACCAATGCGGGATCTGGAACGCATTTGGTAGCTTATAAGAAGAATGGCAATCAGTGGCGTCGCCACGGGGTGGCCAGAGGGGGCCGGGGCCCCCACTGCTGGTTAATTCGGTATTCGGTGGGCACATGCCAATCGCCAACTAACAGGATTGCGCATCCTCATAAGGCGTACGTTCGCCAATTCTCGAGTCGGCAGGGCCTGCGAGTGACGTCACTACTAATTAGCAGCTTATAGTGATGACGTCACCCGCAGACCTTGATGGAATGCTTGCGATTCAGGTAGTGCTTATTTTTTCGTCGATTTTAAATGAAGAAAAGGTGATTTTAACAAGATTATAACGTTTAGGAGTTACTTTTATTGACCTTTGCTGCTTGGCTAATGCATTTCACGCCAACTATTGAGGTTTGCAGCTGAAATGGCAGACATTTTCAGCTCAGAAGCAGTCCTATTGGGTTAAGTTTTCTTGGGCACAGGTGTGGCACAGGAATTCCAAAGAAGAAAAGCGATCAAATAAAAACGAGTGCGCACCCTAAATTTTTCTGGCCCAGTCTGACCCCCTCTAACATAGAACCCTGGCGTCGCCAGTGATGACAATATAGGTCGTTTGCTTTGACAATTTTGGGAACTTGAATCCTTCAATAGAACTTGTTCCTTATTTTAAAAATTTTAAGACACTCTTCAACTCTATGATCAGTATCAATCCTATAACACATATAACTGTGGTCATCTTGCACTTGGTTTTCGGTTTCATAAATCCATATAAATAAATAATTGTGTTTAATTTACTTCAGTCATGTCCCAGATCGACTGAAATTCTGAAGTTTGGTGGACTTGTATTGGAAGGATGTATTATAAAACTTTTTAACAAATGTCTTTACGAGGGCAGAATACCGGAATGCTGGCTTGAAGCAGAAGTTACACTATTATATAAAAAAGCAGACTCAACCAACATAGAGAACTATAGGCCTATTAGTTTATTGTCGCACCTTTACAAGCTCTTGACAAAAGTTATAACCAACAGGTTAATATAAAATTTCGACACCTACCAACCTGTAGAACAGGCTGGTTTTCGAAAGGGTTTCTCTACAACTGATC